AAGGCGAGGACGGGGATGCGGAACTGGGGGTCATTACCGGGTTCCTGGGGATCACTGATGTATCTTTTTTTTTCCCAGTATTTTTTGTATCCATTTTTTTACTGTTCTTTAAATGTAAAACAGTTGAATGTAATTATTTTTTTTTAAATAAAAAATCCATTTTGTTTATCTCTGTCTAATACGCAACGCGCAGGAAAGAAAAAAAAAATTTTTTTTAACCTAATTTTCTACATAGGCGCCATCTCACTTGGCTTAGGGCTTGCCCTAAGCACTTAGGCGCCAAGTGAGATGGCGCCTCCCTTAAAAAAAGAGGAGCATGCGCCAAATGAGATGGCTCCTCCTTTGTGGAGCCATCTCAAACATGGTTATTTGCGTAATTTTTTCCGAAACCCGGTTATTTGCGAAATATTTTTTTAATACATGATTATTAATAAAAAAAATTCGTTCAATTTCAAGACCATGACTTTATGAATTAATAACTTGAGATCCAAGCACTTTTATAAGAAGTTGTGTAAAGAAATTTTGTAGATACTATGGAGATCTACAACTTTCATGTTGAAAGTTTCTTCTTAATCATCTTGTATCATGGTGAAAATTTTGCTCAAAGTTGTGAAAAAACATGAAGTTTTAAACACTTATAAATATTTCTAAGTTAGAAAACTTTGACTTTTCAAAATGAAATCTTGACTTTTTGATTTCTTGGTGAATAAGTTTCAGATTTTGACATGTTTTGATGAATTGTGATCTTTGACATTGGATTTTGACCAAAAAGTCAAAGTTTGACTTTTCAGTGTACAATTGACTTTTGATCAGTTGACTGAAAATTCACTATCAATCCAATTGATCTTGAGCAATGTTTTGGGTCATGCCATTAGGTCAACATGATGCAATTGAATTCTTGAGATCATGCCTCAAACCACTTAACCATTTGCTAGGTCAAAAATCAGAAATTGCATTTCCTCAGTTAAAACCCTAATTTTGACCATTTTGCCCTTTTGATGATTTGATCAAATTTCATGAGGAATTATGGTCCAAACTTGGTAAAATTATACCTATACATTTATAATGTTGATGTGGATAAAAAATTATGAAGTTTGACTGTAAATTGGCAACAATTGACTTTTCCCCAATACAGTTGATTTTTAGGTCAACTGCTCAATTGACTGAGCAAAAGTGTGATCCAAGGCATGAAACTTGCATGAGTAATCTTGGGGGTCAAAAATGATCCATCAAAGTCACATGAAGCATTGAAAGTTCAATTATCCTTGTGCAATCTCAAACCCTAAGTTTGGTCATCAGTGCTTAAGGAGGTGTCTTGAGTTGATCAACCCTAGTGCAGTCTTGAACCAAGAGAGATCTTTGTGAAAAAATATTTGATAAATGAGAGGGAAAATTTTGGGGTACAACACTCTCCATATTCTGACGCCCTTTACTTATTTTATTTCCTTTATTTCTTTTTAACTTAAAAAAAATATTAGGTTTAGTTTTCCTTTTTAATTTAGTTAATTGGTTAATTGATTATTTTAACTTTTTGCTTAAATTAAAACTAAAGTAGACTTAGGATTTTAATTTAATATTTTCTTAAATAAACAAAAAACAATAAAAAGAATTTTATTTTTTTATTTAATAGTTCTTATACTTTTTAGACGTCTTTTCAATTTCGCGCGAATTTATTTATTCTTAATAATGTAACTGATTATGGGATGTAATAGTTTAGATTTAAAATTCCGCATTTATTTCCTCGCATTTTTTATGTAATTGTCCCAAAGCGTTGTAATAGTTTAGGACTTAAATTTTTTGCACTTTTAATTTTCGCAAATATTAACTGTTAGTAACTAAGATTGTATGATAAGACTGTAAATTAAAACGTTAGCTCACCTAACAAAAAGACAAAAATAATTGAATTGAACAGATAAGCACACTTGCACCCTTAAGGTACTCCTCACTTGGTTGTCTCGGAAAACAATGGTCATGTCCCTCGAACGTAGGGATATCTTAGCAAAGACCCTCAATATAAAAGTCATCATAAAGATCATGGTCCCTTAACGTCCATCGAGTTGCATACGAGAAATGATCTTGTCCCTCGATGTTGCCTATATGATGACAGTCCCTTCGAAATGCTAAGGTATCCTTACATGTTGCCTTCAATGACCATAAGCATCCCTTTCGATAGTCCCTCAACATCCAACGGTAGGGCTACCTATTCACTAATAGTAGGATAGCACTATCTAAAGGAAAAGAGGAAAAGAATGTCCTTTTTCGAATAGGTAGATAGTTCTTAAGTACTTGCTCAAACCTAATTTTTTGCACTTACACACTTTCAAACTTCTTTTCAAAAACTCTTTATCACACTCTTGAGGACTGATACAAGAGTTATCATAAAGCAAACAAAAATCTTTCAAAACACACAAACACGAAAACAGTTTTAAAAAATGAGAAAGTACCTAAGAGCCCGTGGAAAGCCACAGATGGAAAGGGTGCTAACACCTTCCCTTTCCATAATCTACCCCCTTGCTCAGAAAATCTCAAAAAAGGTCTTTTTCTGTTCTTTTTACCCTTTCCTTTGTTGGATAAAAGAAAAGTTGGTGGCGACTCTTGCTTACTGTGATATTTGCAAACAAAAAATGCAAACCAGTATTAAACAGTCGGTTCTGCCACCGTATCACAATTGGCCACACATTTTTCCATTTCCTTTGCCCATTATAATATTATCATCGGCATATTACATGTGTGATACCGACATTCCATCTCTTCCAACTTGAAATCCTTCATAGTAATTTAGCTGAACATATTTAGTCATCATTTGGTTTAGCGCCTCCGCCGCTAATAAGAAGAGGAACGATGATAGAGGATTACCTTGTCTTAAACCTCTTCTGATCTCAAACTCCTTGGTAGGGATACCATTGACGATAACCGAGATTCGAGTTAATCACAAACATTCAGAAATCCACTTGCGCCATTTCACATGGAACCCCATCTTCTCTATCACGAACTCTAGATACCTCCAATCCACCGAGTCATAGGCTTTTTAGAAGTCTACTTTAAACATTAAGTCTTATAATTTCTTCCTTTTCGCCTCACATATCATCTCATTCGCGATTAAAATACTATCTGTTATTTGTCTTTCTTCTAGAAAAGAAAATTAGGAGTCCGAAATCACTTTATGAACCACTGTTCTCAATCTATTTGCTAGGATTTTGGATAACACCTTTTTAATACAACTAATTAGAGATATTGGTCTATATTTCGGCAATCTCATCGGGTTGTGTATTTTCGAAATTAGAGTAAGGAACACATTATTTGCACCTCAAATCATTCTTCCATTGTTGTGGAACTCTGTTAGAAATCGGTGAAAATCCCCTTTTATAACTTCCCAAAACTCCTTGATGAAGTCAAAGCTAACACCGTCCGGATCGGGACTCTTCGAGCTCTCGTATTCCCAAACCGCTCTCTTAATTTCATCTTCAGAAAATTCTGCAATTAGACTTGCATTTTCTTCAGCTTCGAGCGTATTGAAATTGAAAGCTTGCAGAGCCAATTCTGTCCATTCTTCCTTTCAAACATGCCTTTGAAATGGTTAAAAACCTTTTATTTTATCTCTTCTACCCCTTCCAATTTTGTACCATTAACCTCAATACTCAGTATTTCATTGTTTCTTCTTCTATTTGTGGTGTATCTATGAAAGAATTTAGAGTTTACGTCCCTTTCTTTGAGCCATCGCATTCGCGACTTTTGCCACATGATGCTACAATTTAATTTAGACAGCTCCAGTAGTTCTGTTGTAGAATCTCTCTTAGTAACTATTTCCACCATTGTTAATGTTGAGCTTTCTCCTTTAAAATCTAGCTTGTTTACTACTTCTTTCAGTCTTTCAATTTTGCTTGACAGATATGCACAATGTTCCTTATGCCAATCTTTTAGGTGACCCTTTATCAATTTCAATTTCTCTTTAAACATATATGCACCCCATCCTTGTATCTCAAAACTCCTCCATTTTTCTTCAACGAATGAGCGATATCCCTCTAAGTTTTTCTAGTAAGAAAGCATCATAACCGGTCTTGGCCCTCAATTCAGAGGCTTATCCCCGAGCGTTATTGGGCAATTGATCAGGCAACCCTTTATCCAAACACCATTGTGCACATCCTGACCACTACATTAGCCAGTCTTCAGACACCAGAAAACAGTCAATTCGGCTTTATCGATGTTCCGTCCAACTTTGACCATGTAAATCTCCTCCCATTTAAAGATAAGTCAATCAACTCAATATCCGATGAAATTTATATGGACGAACCAAACACTACTAATAAATATTTTACTGCATACTTTTTTAAAATAATACTAAAAAATATAACAATAACATACACTTATTTTCACTCTCAAAAATTAAATTTATATAGAAAATAATATTAATTTTTAATACAGTTTATATTATCATAAAACTTTTAACTATCATATAGTCAATAAAATATATATCTATTATTTATTAACTTTTCAAAAGTGTCTTTTGTTATAAAAAAAACATACCAATTGTCTTCTCCTTTTCACCAAACAAAGCTAAACATATATATATTTTAATTATCCTATCAACTACTTTTGGTGCAAATAATCTATCATTTGTAAGCAAACAAATAACAAAAATCCATCTACTAGATAGTATTTTATTAATTAGTTGAAGAAGTTTAGACTAAAAATTAACATTTTCCTATTATTGTTGTTTTATTCAAAAAAAGAAATTAAAAAACGGTTAGAAAAAAAAAGGTGATGATAGTGTGTGCTGGCATTAGCAAAATTTTTATCTTACCGTCACCGCTTCGTTAGGGATCAGAGAGAGAAATAAAAATACAGCGTGACCGTGTCTTCTCTCTTTCTTCATTCACTTCAAATTCTTCTTCAATTTCAATTCAATGTTGTTGTAATTTTCTAGATTGGCGCGTGGATCTCTCTCTCTCTCTCTGCTCTAGTTTTTGAACCCTAAAATTTACTCTGATCTGGTGGTTGTTATGACGACGGTGAAGTCATCGTCGCGGTCGCGAGCGACGGCGGCGAGTGTTAAAGAGAACGGAGTTAAGCTTGAAGAAGGTCTTACTCCTTTCAAGTCTGATAGATTTGATGCTGAGTTCTATGTTCAGTCTAATTCTTCTCTCAACGACAAGGTTCATTTTCGCGTTTCGCGATTTTTTGCTTACTCTAGATTAACGACTTGCCGTTTCATTCGGTTGAACTTGATTTTTCTTTGATCCATTGTTTCTTGTTCTGATTACGTGATTTTGTTTTAGTTTTCGTTGGCAAGGTTTTGCTTTCGTTTCTCGATTATTATGCAGAGAAAAATTAGTTAATTAATTGAAGAATAATCAATTTGTTAATGTAAAACTATTGATGAAAATTTATTATCACAATTTTCATGATTGTTTATTCTATTTTTTCCGCAGGAAATTAAGCAATTATGCACGTATTTAGTAGACTTGAAAAGAGCTTCTGCAGAGGAGATGCGTAGAAGTGTTTATGCAAACTATGCAGCTTTTATCCGGTTAGTTGTGTGTTACTTTGTAACAATTTTTTTGAAATTTAAACTTGTCCTTAAACTAGAAACTAGTAAACGAAGTGGTTCAAGGTTCTCGAATCAAACTAGATTTTTGTAATTACAATTGCAATTACAATATATAAACCAAGAGGTTGTTTCCGAGATTTGTACTCGTGTCGTCTATTTAGGTCATAGAGCATCAACCTTATCGTTCGGCCTAGCCAACGATAGTATATATATACAATACATAATTTCACAGTAAGATATAGTTCTCTAATTTAATTAATAAAATGAATTGGTGATAATGCAATAAATTAACATATATGGGTGAGATAGAGGTAGTGGGGGTTGTGTGCCCGGCCGGATCTATGAAGACTATCTACTCGATACAACAACATGGGTACAATGAAACACATAGAAGGATACTGAAATTTCTTCAATACTGAAGATATGATATGACCTAGATAGATATATTCACAAAAATTTATAATAGAAATATACATATCGATGCATAATATTTGTAGAGAGGTGTTGAAAATTTATATTAATATATGTAGAGGACGATGATCACAATTTACAAAAAGATACTTGTATCATAAGAATTAGGTACAGACAAACCCCACTGCCTCTATCTCACCCATATATGGTAATTTATTGGATTATCATCAATTCATTTTATTAATTAAATTAAAGAAATATATCTTACTGCATATATTGTTCATTGCATATATATTATCGCCGGCTTAGTATGAAAGGCTCCCACTAAGTGGGATAATTTGTTGTTGTTGTTGTTGTAATGTCAAAATGTCACAAAAAGCATCATTAGTTCTATATAAAAGAAGTCTCGACTCCATTCATCATTAGTTCTACAATTTACTGTCTAATACTAAATGAATAATTTTCATCCCCCATTCTCACCATCCAAAAATGTATAATTTTTAAGTTTAATTCATCAACTCTACCAGCTCTTGATGAAGTTAGTCACCACCAACATCAAAAATTTCATGTACACCTCCCCTAATGTCCCACAATTGCGTGTCTTCTTTTATATATTCTCAAAGAATGAATGAAGGAGCGTGTACTACAATTCTGCTCACGACATGAATTGGTGAAGAACAAGATTGTACAAAAAGCTTTAAAGCAAGTTTTTGTAGCTGTATCCCGAAGTACCAAAACAGTGTCCCAAATGTATAGGCTATATTTTGTTTTTTTTTTTTTTTTTTTTTTTTTTAAATTCGGAAGATACTCCTTGCACATATATGTAGTAACGCTGTACCTATATACAATACCGATACCTATACATGAGTATTGTAACCATTAACAACACACTAACACTGATTTTCACATTGAGTATGTGGGGTTCAAACTACGTATCGTGGAAACTCTATGTGAAACTAGTAGCTTCAACACATAATTCCGCTGGTACCCTTCAAGCTTTTCTGCATATAAATTTCGGTATGGTGGAATTGGATTTGCTTGAAGAATGTCGATAAACCAAAATAGTATATAAATTCAACTCTTTTAACAAACAAAATACCAATTGTCTAATGGCGAAGTGGTGCTCAGCCCCAGCTCCATCATGGATTTCACTTCTTAGCTCAAGTATTTTGAGGGTGCTGAAGAAGGGAAAACCAGATTTCAACTATTTAACCAATCAAAACACTGGTTGCATACAATTTATACCTTGTGATACCTTATAAATTCTAAAAGGTCCCAATAATTTAGCTTCATCCTCATATATCATCAAATACATATTTTATTAGTATATGATTTGACAAAGGGTGTTGAGCATCTAAGAATTATTTAGGAGAATTATCTTCCTCCTGTGTAGCCTAAATTTGGGTGTGGCAGTTGGGGGAAGAGTTCACCCACCATAAAAAAGGCTGTTGCAATGATTTTTAGCTGATGTATCATTAATTTCTTTTTAGCACATTAGTCAGTAAACCCATTTTAATTTTATTTTGCTGATTTATCATTGGTCATGTTTTAAATTTATGTAATATTTAAATGTCATAGAACTTCCAAGGAGATATCAGATTTAGAAGGCGAGCTTTCGTCAATCAAAAACCTACTATCAACTCAAGCTACCTTGATACATGGTTTGGCTGATGGAGTTCATGTTGATCAATTATCGATCTCCGATTCTAATGGTTTTTCTGTGAGTGGACTGGACTCTGAAGATACGGAAATTTCAGACCTTGACAAATGGTTAGTTGAGTTTCCTGATCTCTTGGATGTTCTCTTGGCTGAGAGGCGAGTGGATGAAGCTTTGGCCGCTCTTGATGAAGGAGAACGTGTTGTCTCTGAAGCAAAAGAGATGAAATCTCTCAACCCATCTTTACTTCTGTCTCTGCAGAGTTCTATTACTGAGCGCAGGCAAAAATTAGCTGATCAGCTTGCTGAAGCTGCTTGTCAGCCCTCTACCCGTGGCGCTGAACTCCGTGCATCAGTTTCTGCCCTTAAAAAACTTGGAGATGGTCCACATGCTCACAGCTTGCTACTCAATGCTCATCTGCAACGATATCAGTATAACATGCAAAGTCTCCGACCATCAAACACTTCGTACGGAGGAGCATATACTGCAGCCCTTGCACAACTGGTATTTTCTGCAGTTGCACAAGCTGCAAGCGACTCACTGGCTATTTTTGGTGAGGAGCCAGCTTATTCTTCTGAACTAGTGATGTGGGCTACCAAGCAAACTGAGGCATTTGCTCTTCTGGTGAAAAGGCATGCATTAGCTTCATCAGCAGCTGCAGGAGGTTTAAGAGCTGCTGCAGAGTGTGTTCAAATAGCATTGGGCCATTGCTCATTGTTGGAAGCTCGTGGCCTGGCTCTCTGTCCCGTGCTTTTGAAACTTTTTAGACCTAGTGTTGAACAAGCATTAGATGCTAATTTGAAGCGAATACAAGAGAGCACTGCTGCTATGGCTGCAGCTGATGATTGGGTTCTCACATATCCTCCTAACGCTAACCGGCAGAGTGGTAGCACAACAGCATTTCAACATAAACTAACAAGTAGTGCCCATCGCTTCAATTTGATGGTTCAGGTGAGAATTTTAGTTTTGACATGATATTGACTCATGACATGGAATGATGTTTGACTTGAGAAACAGTGTTATAACAGGTGTTGGGACAGTGTGAGTAGTTTTAAAACTAGCTGCCCAAATATATATGTTATTTTGACTCGTAATGTGAATATTTTATCTCTGTTAAGTGAAGAAATTTATAATTGTGTCTAAAAACAGACCGTTTATTTCAGTTCATTTATAAATAATATCCACGGCTGGTCATGTTTTTTCCTATCTTTTTCATTTTTCTTATTTGGTCTGTTAATAATATTGAACTTTAACTTTGAAATTGAATAAATAATTGTCTGTGCACTTCAATACACACAGCTACTCACCTGCCATATTTAAAACTATTTTGCTCTATCAAATTATTTTCCGTGTTTCCCTTGTATAGTGGTTCTTTATTTCCAATTCACTTTAATCTCTATTTTTCTGTATGCTTATACAGGACTTCTTTGAGGATGTAGGACCGCTACTTAGTATGCAGTTGGGAGGCCAAGCTCTGGAAGGGCTGTTTCAAGTGTTTCACTTTTATATGAATATGCTTATAAAAGCACTACCAGAATCTATGGACGAAGAAGAAAGCTTTGAGGATTCTGGAAACAAAATTGTACGAATGGCTGAGACTGAAGCCCAGCAGATTGCATTACTTGCTAATGCCTCATTACTAGCTGATGAACTACTTCCACGTGCAGCCATGAAGCTCTCCTCCATAAACCAAGATCCCTACAAGGATGATAACCGTAGAAGAACCTCAGAAAGGCAAAATCGCCATCCTGAACAACGGGAATGGAGGAGACGACTTGTGGGTTCAGTTGACAAGTTGAAAGATACATTCTGTCGGCAACATGCTTTGGGCCTGATTTTCACAGAGGAAGGAGATAGTCTTCTTACAGCTGACATGTATATAAATATGGATGGAAATGCAGATGATATTGAATGGATTCCATCTTCGATTTTTCAGGTATTTTGCAAACTGGGTTTAAAATTTAACCATTCCATTCCTGTGAATTAATTTTGAAGATTTCAGATTTTTCTATTGCTCATTCTTCATTGAGTGAATTTGAACTTCGCTTTCTTTTTTCTTTTGCTCTGCATAAGTGTTTGTAATGTCTCCTCTCTACTTTTCCTTTCTGCTTGCTCTCTTTTTCCTGGTGGGAACTTCTTTTTTACGGCTATATGTAACGAGGAGAAAACTCCAGAATCTGATTCTGTAGTCTCGTGGTTGTTGATTTTAAAAATTGCTGGATTAGACAGAAAATTGAGGGTCTCTATATTTCTAATTCTAGAATACCTTATCCACATTTTAGAGTGTTCGCCAATTTTTTTGGATAGTTGTGAAATTGCTAATTATGGTATGTACCAAACGAAATATTCTTTCAGAATTTTTTTTGTTTACAATTGATATTGAATGTTTGACACATGTTGGTGTGTTTGATGTTTGTTCCTTTTTGCAGTTTCAATGATCTTTCCTTGCTAAAATCAATACTATGTTCTGTTTATGCTTCAATAATGATTCAAAATCTAATGAGACTATTTTGTCATTGTCCAGGAGCTTTTCATAAAATTGAACAGAATGGCGAATATAGCAGCAGATATGTTTGTAGGGAGAGAAAGATTTGCTACGCTGCTCTTGATGAGACTTACAGAAACTGTTATTTTGTGGATTTCAGAAGATCAGAGCTTTTGGGATGATATTGAGGAAGGGCCAAGGCCTTTAGGTCCTCTTGGTCTACAGCAGGTATGATACTAGCACAAAATTTAAGAAATAAAAATAGAAAATGTTCTTACAAAGTAAATTACCCCTAAGAGTTTGATACATCTTCGTTTATATTTAAATTAATTTATTGCCATTTAAAATTGTTTTTATTACTAAACGTATCTTTTTTTTCTTCTTTTTTTCACATCGTTACATGAGAAATGCATAGGATTTTCTTATTATACAATACATCTATGGCGTAGCTATATTTTTATTTTATTCGAGCCTTTCGGGTTATCAAGAACATAGAGAAAATCAACCATTTAGATTCTTGTCGTGCTTTCAAAAGCATTTTAGGGCACATTTATTTACTTGTTGGAATTAAAATTCTTCCAAAACCCATTTAACGAAATCCTCCAAAACCTAAAAGAAGATTTGTCTTTATATTTGTTATAATATTTTTAAAAAATGACTGTTCCAACATCGTCGAATGTATTGCTCTTTAGAATCTTTAAACACGCGCTTCTTCGCTGTAATGATTTACTGATAGGGAAGATCGATAGATGTAAACTTCATTTGAAAGAACCATGACAACCATATAATTTTCTTTTGAACATGTTGCAGTTTTATTTAGATATGAAGTTTGTTGTGTGTTTTGCTTCCAATGGTCGGTATTTGTCAAGGAATTTGCAACGGATCGTCAATGAAATTATAACGAAAGCAATGACGGCATTTTCTGCTACAGGGTTGGATCCATATGGGTAGGTTCTGCAGTTTTGTTTTAGCCATGTTTCACCATCAACATTCTATCCGTGTTTTCCATTGTTGCCACCAGAAGCATTTGTTCATTTTGAGAGTCTAATATATATCTTTTGTTTCTAGGGAACTGCCTGAAGATGAATGGTTTAATGAAATATGTCAAGATGCTATGGAAAGATTAAGTGGAAAACCAAAGGAAATAAATGGGGAGAGGGAACTTAGCAGCCCTACTGCGTCTGTCTCCGCACAATCAATTTCATCTGTCAGATCTCATAATAGTTCCTAATGCATAGTTTAATAATCCCTGTAAATTAGTATAAGTTCAATCTATCATGAAATTACTGACAGATTATTCTCCTCATTAACATTGATCTCTTCATTGTTTCTCATGTTGTTTCTATCTCCACCTTTATTTTTATCTGTCACCTGTATCAATGAGGGATAAATAACCTTGCACTTGTTTTGATCCGCGTTTGTAAATGTTTGCTGACTCGATTATTTGGTTCTTATTCTTAAATAATATTTTTTGAAAGCATACTCTGTATTTTGAAGTTGCCATTCTTGCACAATTTTTAGTTCTGAAGTTCCTGAGTTTTCACTTGAATGTTTTTCTAGCATGTTTACCATATAGTAGTTCTTTTGGAATGTATAAATATGTCAACTCAGCACACTGCACATAAAAACTCCGTAGAAGCATAGGGAAAAAACATTGACAACTTTCTTAACCAAAAATAAACTCTTACTTTTGAAAAACTAGAACAATGCTCTGAACATACATACTGTATTGTGCTGGAGAAAGTGATGTTATTGAACATGGGTTCATCCTCTCAACTAAGTGGAGTTCACAAATAAGGCAGTCAATAATTAGGCATTTGTTGTAGTCTCCATTAGTTCAATATTTTGCCCTCGTCAAATGTATATAATGTGATAGGAGGGGAATGGGATTTGCTTTTGTCCTTTTAAAAAACTAATTTAATTATCGCTCAAGATGAATTTTTTTTTCAGACTATTCCCGTTCATTAACAATATGTTGAAAAAAATAAATTTTCAAAAAGTTATGCATTTTAATTTTCAAGAATCAGATACACAAATTTCTAAAAAGTTTATGGGAATGTAAAAATATTTTACGGTTATATTCAATTAAATCCTATTTTTATTTTTAAAAAATTGATATAATATGGCGAATATAAGGAATTAAATTCTATTTTTATTTTTAAAAAATTGATATAATATGGCGAATATAAAGATTTTGATTAGATATATAATTTATTTATTTTTTTGGTAAAAATGCATGTGTAAAATTTGTTTACAGTTTGTGCATTATCTTTAAACGCAAAATTTATTCTATTGTATTCTTTTTACAATATTTTTTTAATTTTTAATTTTATTCTTTTACTTTTAGAGTTAATTTTAATATTAATTATTCCATACACACCTATTTATGAGATTTTAAAAATACATTTTACACTATTATAAAATAAAATATATATAATTATTATATGTAATTATTACTAAATTATTCTTTTTTATAGATGTATCTACTCTTACTTCTCATATTCCAAGACAAATTGTTAGTAAGGGGTAGATTTGAAAAAAGTAATAAATATATTTAAAATTTTATAGAAGATCTTATATACAGAAGAAACAAATTCTAAAAGTATCTCTAATCAAGGATAGACAAATTAACTTTTACAAATTCAAAAATTTACTCCAATATATGAAAGATATAATTAGAAGATATTATGGGGATTTATAAAATTGGTCTTTAGTGATAATACAATAAATTTTAATTCATAAAATAGAAATAAAAGAGAGTAATAAATATTTATAAATATAATGATTTATTAATACTATAACATTTTATAAATTGAACACGAACTTTTAAAAAAGACTAATATAAATCAAAAAGAGTATAACATTATTCTAATTTATCAAATATTCAAATTAATTAATTAATTATTAACTATCACGCGAAGTCTAAAAAACATACTTAAAATTATGGATGATAAATAGACATATCTATTGTATTTAAGTTAGTCTAATAAAATTAGGATAGAACGGATCTAAAATCTGAATTCGCTCCACAATAGTATAGTTCGGATGGAGCGGACCAACAGACAGTATATTTTAAACTTAAAAAATATAAAATTATATTAATAATTGTATATGTAAAAATTTGCAAAAAAATAGAATGGAATAAACACATAGTCTAAATTCTTAATTCGTCCGTTCTATATTAAAATACGAACAAAACAAACATGTTTAACGAAACAAACCTATTTTAAAACCCTACTTAAAATAAGATAGAATACTATTTTAAACTTTTAAATATTATCTTTAGAACATTTGTTAACATTTTCTATAAATAAATACTAAATGCATACTCCTTATAGACATTTATAAAAAATAAATAAAATTCAAAGTTTAATCATTATTATAAGTAAAGTTAATTTTATTTTTTTAGCAATAACTATATTTAAAATAAATACATAAATAATTGATCTTACCTGATCAGACTTGGACCGTCACGGCTGGCTCGAGTTGAATTTAAGTGAGATGGAGGGTACCTGCAAGACACTCCGATGCTAAAATGAGAGACGGAATGAGCAGGCAAAAAATGTATAGGTGTGTAATAGATGAATACCTGACCCTCTGGGAACAGAGGGTATTTATAGCCTCCAACGCTGGGTCAAGGTCCCCTCATTGGGCTGACCAGAACTGGCCCAATAAAGGAACTGTCAGGTTCTACGTGTGTACTGGGGCCCCGCACATGGTCCCCTTCCTGGTGGTGCTCCGCGAAGAATAAGGAGGGACGAAGACGCGATCTTTCCGGAGCTTAGAGGATTCTGTAACGGTCGGAGTGGACAGAATCTGCCTTACGGGGAGGGTGCTCGAGCTGGACTCGAGCTGAAGTTCCCTTGGTCGGGGACACTGCGTGTTGCGGGCAATGGCGGGCATAGCGGCCACAGTCTGTTATCGAGCACGTCGGTGATGGTCCGTTTGTGCACATTCCCCGAGGAGTTTGCTTGGACTGGGCATTTATCTGCGCTTTGGGCCAAGGCAGGCCCAGTCCAGAACAGGAGCCCCCCAAGTCGTTGCTCCTGGGGCAGGAGTTATGACTTGACTTCAGCTCGCCTTTACCATGGGGATCTGATGCGCGGACCAGGGTTTTGTCTTTCGAAGCGTGCTCGAGGCGTTTCTCGCAGGGATACACGGGTCGCGCCCGTCGGGTACGTGGCACAGTCCTTGGGAACTGTAGCGCCACCCTAGCGACTAGGGCCATCATTGCCTAGGGGTGTAGGTGTCGAGGACGGGGAAGTTCGTGTTTCCCCGATGTGACGTTTCAAATTCCACGTCATCCTTATAAATAGGACCCTTGGGCCCATAATTTGTTTTTTCCCCTTCACGCTCTTCCCTCTTTCCCTGACTCTGCTGCCGTCGTTTGCTGCAACACTGTGAAATCACTATATCATTCGTCGTTGATTCCTTCCACCGCTGTCACTCGTACTCTTTTCTTCCAAGTAAGTGTTTGTTCCTCCTGTTTTTCTTTGTTGTAGGTAGTTTTAATGTTATTTTTGATGTTAGAAACCCATATTCTGGGAGTAGTGCCCGGTAGATTCATAGTTTAGGTACATAACTCGCGATTCTGCCCGTGACCTTCATAGTTTTAGGCATATGAATCATGATACTGCCTGAGACATTCATAGTTTTAGACATATGACTCATGATACTGCCCATGACATTCATGCGTTTGGTCGGCATGCCCATGAACTGACCGGGATGCTCATCCTTTTTAGGAAGTATGTAGGGCAGCCTCCTCGCGGTGTCCTAGTGTCGGGCAGGAGATTTCAGGAACTTGCTCGAGCGATTCATGTTTCTCCCAGGGCGTTCGTGCTGCTCCCTTGTTGTCCCCGATGCGTGGTCGAAGCTGGGGTGTCCGTGTTCGGCTTGTTGTGTACTAATTCCTGCCTCTGTGGCGAGCACACGGATTTTCTCTCGAATTCACCAGTTTCCTGTGCTTTACAGGTAAATGGCCGACGAACCGGAATCTTCGAGGCAAAATGAAGTCGAGGATACAAGTACCGAGGAGAATGTTACTTTAGTTGACACCATAGATAACCCCGCGTTGGATTGGGTGGGCGCCGAGCCCCGGGGGATTGCCTCGGCGTATTGTCGGTGTAGTCAGCGTGCCTATACTGTCGTCGAGCATGGCGACAGTCAGCCAGGTTTTCAGAAGAATTTTGTAGTAATTAGGTCGTCGATCGATGCGTGTATCTGCTCGGAGTTTACTGAGTACGGGTTCCCAATGTATGAGATCGTGTTCAGGGATCTCGGTCTTAAGCTCCCCTTCAGCGATTTTCAAGTCGGGGTGTTCAGCTATCTAAACTTGGCCCCTTCGCAGCTTCACCCTAATTCGATCACCTTCCTTCGGGCGTTCAAGCTGACGTGCCGTTTCTTGAGGATCGGGGCGACGATTCCTCTTTTCTTCCGGGTCTTTCGCCTGCAGCGTCAGTCTCGAGGAGGCAGGCGCAGTTGGGTATCCCTGAAACAGTCGAAGAGGCTGTTCAGGATGTATATGGATTCGGTAAGGGACTTCAAGGATAAATGGTATGTTCTGCATCCGGTCACCCAAACTGCTTTGGACTCCTTGTTCGAATCGGAAACCACGGCGGTCTACGCGGACGGGGAGCCCCTCGTGGATGCTGAGGGTCGTCCGACAGTCGGGCGCATTTCCAAGTTCCCGATACATTGGTGCTCAGGCCATTACGACCATGGTACCGGGTACTATCATACGCCTGCGGGAAGCATGAGCGCCGAGGACGAGGAGGCCTATGATGTCCTTTGCAAGTATATCGACAACTTCTTCCCTGCCCGGTGGGTTACGAGGGAAGGGGATGATATTCTTGACGAGGAAGGGTACCCGACATTCGAGGCTCGTCCCATCAGCACTAAGGCGCTCATTGAGTGCCAATCTTACGGGCAGGCCGTAGATCTGCTAGGTTTCTCGCTTCTGATTTTATTGTTTTATTCCATTTTCGTTGTTTTTGCTCGCTTACAGCTAACCCGGGTTTTGCTCCTTTTTGCAGGCGACATGGCTGAGCGACGGGAGAGGTTATTGAAACTAACCCAGGACAAGAAAATAAACAAAAGGCTGGTGCGAGCACCGCAGGCCACGGGGATGGGCCCACAGGCCACGGGGATGGGCCCGCCGGCCAGTTCGGGCAGAGATGCCTCTAGTGGGTCCTCGGGCTCTCCTGATGCTGAGCAACCCATCGAGCTGATTCC